AAAAAAAGTCTAATTTTTTAATTTAAAAGATTGCTTTAATTTTAATATTTCAAATAATTTTTGAAATAYTTTTCTGAATAATTTTTTCTGTTGCAAACAACTCGTGTCGCATGGCATTACCAGGTAATGCCCTACATCATCACTTCAACGCTTTGCATTGCATACATATACATGTATGTATGTATGTTTGTTGCTTCTATGGCACTGAACGAGTCGTTTTAGCATTTGCGGTAGTAATTTGATTTTTTTGCACATGCCTGTACACAAAACATTCACACAAACATGCCACGCACTTTTTATCGCATTTTTTATACGTTTTTTTGTTTATTTATTTAAGAAATTAACACTTATTGTTGATGTGGTTACGCGTTGAAAGGAGTATGCAAGTAAACACAGCATAAAATTACAAAAACTTATATATCAATGACAAAATATTCAGTAATTTACAATTGGGAAGACATATGCGTACATTTATTTTTTTTTTTTATTCACGCTTTAACGTTGCAAATCTTTTTGTTTTTTTTTTGTAAAAAATCTTTTGTTAATAAATAAGAATTGTAGGAAATTAATTAAAAATAAGGCATGAAAAAGTAATAAAATCACAATTTGCTGTGAAAAAAATATTACATTAGTATAAGTTGTTTGGTTATAATAAAACTTAAAGTTGCTAACAATAATTCAAAATTAAAAAAAAAAAACATAATTGCATACTTTTTTGTGACCAACTCATTTTTTTTTATAAAAAATATTTTTATCAATCAAATAAACCATTAATATTTTTATATACTTCTCCTCCATTTTTTTTTTTTTATATAAAATAAAGTATCAAGTTCAACTTAAGCACTAAATTTAACATAAAGTAAAAGTCATACGCTTGACACTTGCTTCATGCTCATCACTCAGCTAACTACTGCATACTCAGCTGCTGCTGCTTAGTTCCCCCAGGKCGCTGGCTGCTTGCCTTAACTAAAGTATGCTTGCTTGGGTGTCGTTTATATTGGTAAATCATAAAAGTTTATGTATATTAGAAGATTTTTCATATCACTTCTTAAGCGAAAAAACTATACGAAAGTAAGTGTTTCTAAAACTAAATTTACGAGTTCCTTAGTTTTTGCTTATTTTTCCTTAGAGAAGTAACTGCTGCTTACCACATAGCATAATTAGTAGAAGTCGTATACTATAAACTTATGTGTGTAAATGTTTATTGTTGTGTATGCATGTGTGTGTTCAATTTGTTAAAAATGTAGAAAATTCCATTTTCTGTTTGTTTTCTGTTATGGCTGTTGTTGGGGATAACCGAAACGTGAAATTTGATTTTATGCCGCTGAGGAATTCTGCTTTTCGAGAAGTTTGCCAAAAAAKCACGACTTTTTTCAGTAACACGTTTATAAAAAGAATTACCTATGTAATTTTTGACAAATTCCAGACTTCTATTGCTAACAAGCTTCCAAAACAGCTTTCATAACGATCGTCGCAGCTTTTTCGAAGCTACAAAGTATAAAAGTTCTTATCTCTTCCAATGTTTTAGAATTCTTCACATTTTTTTTTTATTTTAAAAGTCTTTAGAACTTCTTTTGAGGCATAAAACCCTTCAGAACAAGGGCGATTTTGAAAGCTTGAAAGTTTGCAGAATTTTTGTGTTAAATTAATTATTTTAAATATTTTTGAGGTCCAAATTTAATGGAAATTATTTTAGATATTAATCTTTWTTAAAGTTCTTCGCAGATTTTTTGAAGCTTAAAAGTTTGCACCAACCTTTTTGAAAATGTTTACAAACTTTTTATTTCAAAAATTTCGCTTTTATATTAATAGAAGAAAATTTTCATAAAGTTCATTGCAGCTTTAAGAGCAAGCTTTTTCTATTTTACTCAGTTTTCTGAACCCACAAGCGCACAGTGAGACTTTCAGAGCACAAAATTTTATTTCTTAACATTTCCGGTTATCTATTTCGTTAACTGTTTTATGCTACTATTGCATTATGGCCGGGCTATTGCTGATTTGTAACGGTATTGRTTTTATGGTTTGCTAAGTGCTTTTTAAAAACACTCATCAAAACTTTCGCTCATATCTAGTCAAAGTTTAGAGTCCTTTTCGAAAAGACTTTGTTGTTGTTATATGGGCTAAAAACTATATATTTATACATGTATGTGTATGTATGCATGTATAATAGGTATTAATGTGTGTATGGATGCGACACATTGCTTTTCGAAGCTTTCAATAATAATCATACGTAAAATTCATGTGTGTGTGTGTGTTGACAGTGTGGTGAGTATATGTACGTGTAGTGGTAGGTGTGAAGATGAGAAATAATATATGTATATACATATATATATATAGATATAGTAACGTTAGATTTCATATTAAAATTATTACTACATTTAAAATTTGCTTTGCTGTTTTTGTTGTTTTTGCGCACATTCCTCGCTCATTTCCGCTAACTTAATTTTCGCTTACAAAATTAAGTGCATAAGAAATTATATWGAAATTACAGTTAACATTTATAAGTAAACATCGTAGATATATATATGTATATGCTGTTATAAGCAGGCCTATTTAGAAGAGAAATAATACTTAACAATTAAATTATAAAATTTTTTTTTTGCATTTTTTTTTTGCTATTTCCTTTCACATTTCTTGCTGTTAAATAAAAAGTTGAAAAAAATTAAAAATAATTACGGCATAGTTTAAAGAACGTTGTGTGTCTAATATGTTGTTGCGTAATCGTAGTATGTAAAGTAAGTCTGTCCGCGCAGTTTTCGCGCACACTGTACGCGCGTACTTAAGTTGTATTGAAAACAGGAGTATAAGTATAAAAAGGTGTATTGGTGAATTGGTAGTGCTAGTGCTAGCGCCTAACAGTTACAAGAATTGAGCGCATTTTCTTCTATATTTTTTTGTATTATAACGGATTTTTTTTTTTTGTCAAATTCAAAATTTTCAAAGATAAGTTATACCGACTGCCGCGCGCGTGATTTACTATTGTCACTCGAAAACAAAACCACATAATTTATAACGGTAAATTAATTGCATATGTAGTAGTGCTTCAACTAAATGTTGTTGTTTTCATTTTCAAACAATATGCTCACGCTACAGTTCTATATATTGTACGTGTTTCATGTCCAGCTGCAGCGCACGCTCAACAGCTGTCGGTTTGAGTGGTTTAGTAGCTGTACCGTTATTGTTAGGTTAATGTTATGCATTCTTCCTTTACTGCGCATACATTGCTGTTTTTGTTTTCTTACATAATTGTTATTGTTTTTTTRTTTGTTTAGTTTTTTTGTTGGCTTCTCAATTATACTCGTATTCTTCATACAATTAGGCTGCTGCTTGGTGACATCATAGAGATCCGAATATTGAGTGTATATGGGGATGTATAGGAATAGCGTGTGACAGTGTATGTGGTGGCGGTGGTGGTTGTACGCCTAGCGCGCCACCTCCGCCGCCGCTATGCGCTGGCGGCAGATGTGTGGGCGGCCCGCACAGATTGGCACCGCCGCCCACATGCGATGCCTGGTGCGCCTGCACGGGATGATGAGCGACTGCAGCGGCCGCTGCGGCTGCTGCTGCGGCGGCGGCGCTCGGCAGTGGCGCCACCGGTGGCAATGTGATGGAAAGTGTAACTGTTTGTGGCGGTGACAGGCCATGTTGCGCGTGCTGGTGTTGCAGCTGTTGCTGTTGTTGTTGTTGTTGATTTTGAAGCTGTTGTGGCGCCGCAGCGCTGTTGTTTGTTGCACTTTGTGCTGATGTCGGCACCACGACACCGACGCCGCCTCCACCACCCCCACCTTGCTGTGTGCCGGCATTATTGGCTGCTGCTGCTGCCGCCACGGCCGCCGCCGCTGCAGCGGCTGCTGTCGCAGTGGTGGGATGTCACTGAGCCACCACCGATGTGGGCGTGTTCTGTTGCACCACCACACCGGGCGCCACCGAATTCGGCACCGTCACATTGACGGGCGGCTGTGAGGCGGCACCGCCGCTATGCGCCGCTGTCGGCTGTCCCTGCGTCTGAAACGTTTGCTGGAACGGTGGTCCATAACACTGCGGGAAGTACAATTCATTTTTGACGACCGACTGTTGCACAGCCGCATTCTGTACGGCCGCCATGGCGCGTGGCAAAATGTTCGCTTTATTGTCGCCACCAGCCGCAGCCGGATTGTTGTTGTTGAGGAATTGTTGTGCCGCATTCTTGGTCTCGTTCATCAGATGATTGGCAGCGGCTGCGGCGGCGGCGGCGGCCGCATGACTGTTGGCATTCGGATTATTGGCATTGGCCGCATTCGGATTATTCGTGTTGCTTTGACGTGGCCGTTTTGTCGTATTCGGATTCATGTGGTTGTCGATGTGTTTGGTCACCTCATTCTCGGTGGCAAAGCGACGTCGGCAATTTGGCATTGGGCAGCAGAATGGACGATCGCCCTGTGAGKGGAAAAGCAATAGCATTAGTTAGGAGTAGAAATTAATGTATGGACACAAAAAACAAATAATGTTGTAAAGAACATTTAGATTACGCTCAAATTGAAATATTCGAAGCACGAAAGCTCTTTTTTAAGCTTTTTTCTGATTCAAGAAATCTTAAAGTACTACAAAGCATTTAATGCTGCCTCTGAGCTTTCCTAAAGCTATTTTTCTGGCTGGTGTCAAATCTACAAGTTTACAACTACCTGGTGCGTCCGTGTGTGCTGATCCAGTATGGCCTTCTGACGGAAGTCTTTACCGCATTGCGCGCATTTGTACGGCTTCTCGCCGGTGTGGATACGAATGTGCTGTAAGAAAGAAAATATTATATAATAATAAACACTAACGTCTTTCATCGGCATCCCTTCAATCGCTTACCTGATTCAGTATGGTGCGCTGTCGGAAGAAACGCGGACAGTACAAACAACCGAACGGCTTCTCATTCGTGTGTATTCGTAAATGTTGCGTTAGGTGCGACTGCTGTCGGAAGCGTTTGCCGCACTCGGGGCACGGATACGGACGCGACTCGATGTGTATGCAGCCGTGTTGCAGCAGTGTCGTTTTCTGCTTGAACTCCTTGTCACAGATTGGACAACGCACATAGAGCGGCATGTTGGCTGGCCGCACGCCGATATGCTGCAGCACATCTGGCAAGATCTTTTGCCCTGCGCATGTGCACACGTATTTGTTTGTAGCATGTGGTATATGAAATTAGAGAAAACACCAAAAATCCATATGAATCAATGTGCTTGAGTTACATGTGTAAATGCAATTATATTAATTAACCAATAATTATAAAAAATTAAGGAAAAAAACGTTAAACAAAACGTAGTACGGACTTCCTGTGGCCACGTGCGTTACTTTTTTTTAATTGTTCTCTAGACTACATCTCGTAGACAATACTTACTGAACATTTAGCGTTGTGGCAGTAAACTTCGTTGTATAAAATTATATGTAACTGTGATTTTCTTGCCTTTATAATAGTCAAGAATTTTCCAAAAAAAAAAAATTTATTTTGTTTATTTTTTTCTTTTTATTTTGATTAGTTCCGTCACCCTAGTTGAAGGTGCATTGATTTTTTTTATAATTTTTGGAAGAGTTTTAGGAAGGATTTTCATTCCAGTATTTTTTTTTTGTTTAAATTCGAAATTTTTTTGTTTTTAAAGCTACATATGAAAGTAATTGCTTGTTTTTGTTGTCGGCATAGTAAAAGAATTAACTTGTTGTTGCTGTTGGAAAAGCAGAAAATATTTCTGAAGCGGTTTCGGGGTAGCTGCCGAGTTAGCAGACCTTGGTAGGATAAAAATTTCCGGCTATTTAGATCCAACTGTCGTCAAAGCAGAGTAATTGCTGAAGTGGAAATATTTATATATAGTATATATGTACATACATATTACTCCACCTGTCTCTTATACACATCTAGATGTGTATAAGAGACAGATTTTCGGACTTCCACTTCATCGTAGGAAATTGTAAAATTATGAAATGTCCATTTACACCCGAACTTCCCTCTACCTTGCTTGTAAGATTATATAAATATCACAAAAAAAAAAAAAAAAAAAAAAATAAACCTTTTGCAATAATAATTAAAAATATTTAACATAACAAATTGTAAAAGAAAAGTAAAAAACGRCTCGGTATACGTACAGTTCTTATTACCTTTGCTGTCCTTAAAGTATGACGGATAATGTATACCGCCGCTGCCGTCTGGCGTACCCTGTGAATCCTCGTCATGATAACCACTACCACCGGCTATATCATTCTTCGTATCAGTCTCATCACCCGGATATGGTACATCCTGTGGCCACAGTGTCGGATGTGGGCCATTCTTGAAGATAAGATTCGGTGAGACATCTGTTTAACGGTACGTGTTGACGGCATACGTGACATAACGTGTATTTTTAAAGACGTGCGTTCACAGTTGAAACGAGAAAAAAATAAAATTGTTTTGTTAGTACGTGGCGAATTTGGGCTAAGTACTCCACTTAATAAGTTGTAAATTGCTAAATGACTCGTTAACATTTGCTAAGCTAAACTACAATATATAAAATTTTAAATGATAAAAATAAGCGAAAAAGCATAATAATTAATAAAAATTGGAGCAGGCGTAGTGCTTCAGCACTTTTTGGGCTTCCTTAGTTTGGAGAAGTTTTTTTGTTTAATGTGTGTTTTTGCTACTTTTGTTTGAAGTTTTGCTGAAGATATATGTGTGTGTGTTAAATAAAATTTGGTTTTGCTTATATCATAAAATATGCCGAAAACGTTTTTGCCAGATTTTTTTGCCTTTTCAAAATGGTGTGCCTTTTTTCTATGGTGTTTTGAGGTTAGCTTCGGTTTGAAAAATAAACTGCAGAAATAAGGGTTTTTTGTACATAAATAAAATACTAAATAGGAGACTTTGGAGATAATCTATGAAAACGCTCTAGAAAATACTACTGCCTAGTTAGGAATAATAAAATTCTAGCCTAAAATTTAAAACGAAATTTTTAAAAAATATTTATAAACTTATAGGAAAGAAAAGTTATGATAAATATTAAAAAAATTTATATCTGTCTCTTATACACATCTAGATGTGTATATAAGTAAACATCGTAGATATATATATGTATATGCTGTTATAAGCAGGCCTATTTAGAAGAGAAATAATACTTAACAATTAAATTATAAAATAT